TGTATAAATCAATCAATCAATCAATCAATCTATCTATCTATCTACCTATCTATTAGGTCTCTTTGAGTCAGCCACTCACAGTGACTCTATAAACAGCTGACCTGAATCCTGTGTCATCTTCACCAGCTCTGATATACTTGAGGCCATTGCTATGTCCACCATTGTCCATCTTGGGGAGGGTCTTCCTCTCTTTCCCTGACCCTCCACCTTTCCAAGTTTGATGTCTTTTTCTAAGGACTGGCCTTTCTTAACTTCTTAACAATATGCCCAAAGTATGTCCAAGTTTCATCACCTTTGCTTTTTTAGCAGCAGTCTGGCTGTACCTTTCCCCAAGACATATCTGTTTGTATTTTTCACCTGTCCATGAGGTATTTAGTACTTGTTTTCAACACAACTCAAAGGCATCAGTTCTTCTCCTGTCATCTTTAACCATTGTCCAACTTTCAGATGCATAGGAAATAACTGAAAAGACCATGGTTGGAATCAGACACATCTTAGTTATTAAACCAATACTGCGGCTCCTTAACACCTTAGAGGGGTCCTTCACAGCAGATTTCCCAAAAGCAACACATAGGTTCTAACTAATGTACTTTAAAAAAATTTCAGAATTGGTATTATTAAATGGCCTTGAGTCCCCTATGACTCACAGTGACCTTCTAAACCACAGCTCTGAGACCAGCCCTGTCCTGCCCCTATCCTCACCATCTCTGATACGCTCCAGTCTGTTGTTACGGTCACTGTGTCAGTCCATCTTGGTGGGGGGGTCTTCTTCTCTATCTCGGACTCTCTACCTTCTTTCTCAGCATGATGTCTTTTTCCAAGGATTAAACTCTTCTGACAAAATGTTCAAAGTATGTAAGAGGAAGTTTCACCATCCTTGACCTTAAGAAGAACAGTGCACTTTTCCTGAAATAGACCTTCATAAAGTGGAACACGGTAGTGCTTAATCTTACATAATTACCTACAGATACAACAAAGATATGGGGACTCTGACAGTATACGCCACAGTGTATTGTGCTGTTAGGCAAAAGTCTGCCCATTTCAAGCAATTCAAATCCACTAGCAGCTCCATGGGAGAAATGGTTAGTCTCCTTTTACTATGATTTACTGCTTCAGAAACAAGATGATGAGGAACTGACTTGACAATAATGAGCTTGAGGTTTGTGTACATTTTGTTGTCATTTTTACATTAATTCATTTTATATTGTACCTTATTTCCTACTTTCCAACTATACAGATGTGCAACTAAGAGGAGCATACAAGAGAGAGTCAAATTTAACTTAGAATGCTTCTTTTAAATTAGCCTATTATAAAAAAAATGGAAAAAAAGAAACAAATAAATTAGCCTATTATTATAAATACTCAATAAAATATTTTTTTAAATGGCCAGCTAGCCTAGGAGTTTGAGTTTAATTTAAACACAGATTTTTAAGTGTGAACCCTAAAATTACTTTGATATTATTTTTATTATTATTTATTGATATTCAGTTTTAAATAAAGTGTTTGATTTCACAAAATGTTCTCTGCTCCAGAATTTGCTCTGCAAGCAAATCAGTAAGTCACACTCTATTTAAACATATGAAATAAAAGAAACTTTTTATCTGTTTCTAGGAGACTGTAATAATGGAAAAGAAACCTGGAATATATATGCATACATGTTTCTGTGTATGTTAGAGATATTTTTTAATTTTTTAATTAATTGTAATGAATGCTTACAGAGATTTTGGATTTCCATTAATTCATTGTTGCACTTTTCTCCCTGCCCACCCCTCCCCCTCCCAGTTTGCTCTTCTCTTTGAAAAGTGAAAGAAAAATTCTTTCATTGGTATACAATTCCCCACTCCTATCCCGAGTACATTCCACTATGCAACCTTTATTCTGGACCTTTGTCATAACCATTAGAGAGATAATTTCTAACTAGGAGTAATTACAATGAAATATCAAAGAGGAAAAATTAAATATATGCAATTTTTAATATTTTGCTTCTACCATTTTTCTTTTCTTTTTTAAATTTTATTTTATTATTTTTTTTTGTGCATGTACCATCAAATTGGATCTGACTGGTACAGGAAGGGATTGTCCCTCCTTCTCCAGCAGAGCATCTGGTGGATTTGAACCACACACCTGGGATCATTTTTATTTTCTAAAATAAGATATATCAGAGGAAGAAATTAGCAGTTTGCTGCTGATGCCTATTTTTTATTTCTAATTTTAATGAAATAACTAAGCAATAAAAGCCCTAAAAAATGTAATGAAAGACATTTCCAAACTTAAAATTAATACTTGGAAGTGACAACAATTCTAAACTTAAATATTCAAGATCATTCACTCAATGTGCAGAAGAGATTTTAAGCACCAGAAATTGAAAGCACTTACCAAGATTTATAAAGCAATCAATATTGAATTTAGGGTTTTGAGCATGTAGTATCATGGTACCCAGGTAACAGAATGGCCACCTTAGTACTGTGACTGTTAAGACACTGTTACCTTATTGATCCACAGGTTCCACATAAAATCTTATCAAAATACCTACACAGAAATTGAAAATCATTCCCAAAATTCATATGAAACTTCAAGAGACCCTGGAGAGTCAACCAATTTCAAAAAATAAGAACAGAGTTAGTTGATTCATACTTTCTAATCCCAAAATGTATTAAAAAGCTAATCAAGATAGCATGGTAGAACAGAACTGAGAGTCTAGAAAGGAACCCTCATATTTACGAACAGCTGAGCATGATTAAGCAGTCACTAACAATTAGGACGTGTCTGCTACTTACACCTGCGCGTTTTCTAGGTCTGTGATTTTCTCTCCTCATTGGCTTGTTCATGCATGTACTGATGGTAAATGCCATGTGTCAGCTTCAGAAGACTGATTTTCATTGGTGTGGCAGATACTGTGCAATCAGTCACCTTCTACTCTGTGATTTTTGTGTGAAGAGCTGATTTGTTGAAAGAGGTGTTTCCATGGGAGTGGGGACTGCCTCCAGTATACACTTGCATACTCTGGCAAAGCTCTCTCTTGACCTTGCACTCCTCTTGTAATAACAAGAATCTCTGGCTCTTTAGATGTAAGGGAGCAGATGTCTTAAGCCTGCCACTTGATCTGAAGATGTGGGGTTTGTCATCCCCTGTAGCCATGTAAGTTGTCAACCTACTCTTCAATTCATAGACTAGGACTGCGGTGCTGGAGAAGAATACTGAGCATCCCATGTACTACCAAGACAACAAACAGTTGTGTCCTAGAGAAGGTGAAACCAGGTTACTCCTTAGAGGCAAGGATTTTGAAGCTTTATCTCACATACACTGGGCATTTTTTCAGGAGAACCAATCCTTAAAGAAGGATATCATGCTTGAAAGGGTGGAATGTTAGCCCAGGAGAGGAAGACCCTGGATGAAATGGATTGACACTGTGACTGTGGCAATGGGGTCAGGTGTGTCGGAGCTACTGAGGTTAGATCAGGATGGGGTAAGATTAGTAGTCATTGTCATAGGGTTGCTGTGAGTTGTAGTCAACTCAACAGCACAAAACAACAACAGATTTCCACAGTGGGTTTCCTAGAAATAAATCTCTATATATACACACAGAAGTATTCTTCACTGGTTTATTCTTCTAAAGAACCCAGAATAAGAATGATGAATAAAAAAGAAGTTGAACTCAAATGTTGTTGTTGTTGTTTGGTATTGTCAAATTAGAACTGACCCTCCAATGGGTTTTCAAAGGCAGTAAATTACATGGGAGGAGACTGCCCAGCCTTCTCCCATGGAGCAGCTGGTGGATTTGAACCACATTCTTTTGAGAAGCAGTACATCTTGTTTGTTAAAGGTTGCATAATACAGTTATTGGAGGGAAATGGCCAAAATGAATTTAGGCATTTTCTATGACCATTATTTAATCAATATTTCTCTTCTTAAGTAATGAAAAACAAGAACACCAATTTCCTAATATTCTAATATCCATGGCATGTTGTGATATAGAGTAATAAAACCTCAAAGTTTGAAAAAGAAAAAAGTAGGGGAAACTGAGAAAACATTCCCCTTTACATAGTATTAATGAGGTTTAATTTAGTTTTATTTTACTTCAGAATAACCAAAACTGCAATGGACAGAATCAATTCTATTTTACCTAGGTTTTGGAGAAGATTAAGATAAATCTATTTTTATATTCCTTGCTTTCCTTGAAGAAAAGCAAAAGCTGAAAATAGCAACATAGAAATTAGTCCCAACAGTGGCATTTTTAAAAATGGAGATAATAAAACATTTCAATTATAGTTTCTTAATCTTCCTACTTTAACACTGCCACATATAAGAAACGAATAAAAATAAGCATACAATTAAATTACCATGCATCAAAATGCTTCATTAGTCCTTAGTCACAATCTATGACATTTTCCTCTTTGGGGTCTATTATTCTCAGAAACCCCAGCATAAACTGTTTCAGTATTCTAACATTGCATGAACTTGCACATATTTTATTTGCTTCACTGTATTCTATTTCTGTGCTTGTGATGAAAGAAGACAGAAACACCGCCATTAATCACCAATGAGAATATATACTATGTTTTATGCTTCTTAGCATAAAAAACGACACTCCACAATTAAAATGCAACTCATCTCCACCCAACTTTCATGGTAAACTTTGTTGATAAACACAGATGTGAATTATTAACTAGAGGACATGGGTACACCAAGGACTAAACAGGAATTTTGTTTCTTATAACACACCTATATCTTAAATCCCTTCAGCTCCGATCTGTCAGGGAAAGGCAGCCAGGTGAGCCGTCTGTCACTCCTGTCTGTGCTAATAGACTCTCCAGTGGCATTTGCTACAGCTCATGTCATACTATTAAAACAGTGTGCCTTGGAAATGGCATAACAATGTAGCAGAATCTTGTAGACTCTTGATAATTAGACTCTGTTTGGCTTAGGAAGCAGATGCAGATGAGAGAAGCAACATGAATATGCAAATCACAGTGGTCCCCTTTCAGCACCACCCCTCCTACCTCCAATGACCCTCGCAGGAAGTCTGTCTGCTCAGCTCCGACTTCCAGTGCTACGTCCACGGACGCAAACGGACGGCTGGCCATCTGCTGTCGCTCCCGAAGCAGTTGCTAGAGGGGGTTAAAATTATTTGTCTTAAAAGAAGCTTAAAACAAAGCATTAAATTCAACAATATCCACTTTCCTTTTATAACAAATGGCACTCAAAGCATGGGAATCATTTGATTCACATATCTGTATCTAGATCATTAGAGAGAAACACTGTTTTCTGTCCATGGCTTGGGTTATATTTCCACAGAGGCTCTAAATGTACAGTGTCTCTGACCTCCATCTTCCAGGCCTAATGAAATGTACTCAAAAGCACTTTGAAAACCTCAGGTGAGAGGTGTTACTTAAGCAAAAGTGCTATTAGGACAATAGCTGTGCTGTTTCCTCATTCTCAAGAATCCATGCTCTTTCTATTTAAGCTGAAAGCAAATAACAGTAAAAAAGTTTAAGAAAAGAAAATGAACAGCTCTCAAGTTATATTAATAGAGATTAAAGGTACATAACCCTGGCAAGACTAAGTCGTATAAGTCATCAAGGTTCCTTGTCAATTTCTTTGCCACCAGTAAGCACTGTTACTGGAAGTGTTTATAACTTTATGCAAAGCTTCTGTGTCTGTTATTTTAAAATGAAGAGTGACTAGTAGGATGCAGAAATGTTGTGCCAGGACTTAGAAAATACCCTTAGATGTTTATTTCTTTCTCCTTGTGCCCATGCTAGGCTTTGCTCAAACTAAAACCAATAAACTAGCAAGTCCCAACCAACCACCAGGCTAATTTATATTTCTGCCTTTCCTTGTAATTACAATATTCATTAAGTCATGATAAGAAGAAATTGATGACCGGCATTAGATATTGCAAATCTTGCCCCTCTCATTCTATACAGCTAATAAAATTATTATTAAATATTAAAACTAGATGAGCAAATGCAATTAAACACTCTTTCAAATGAGAAAAAAAAAATCGTATCATTGAGGAAAGGCAACATCTTTGGACACAATGAATGGCTTCATTGCTCACAGAGATTTTTAAAGATTCACTAGCATTAGTTGAAAACATTAACGACCAGTCTTTGAATATAAATGCATGCAGCAGCGTGATACATCATTCAGAAAATTCTCTTGCAGATGAAGAAGATACACAAGCCAACACCTGACGACAGTGTGTGGTTTAGAATTCTTGATTTAGCATCTAAGACACAGCAGTGACAGTGTTCACAAAATTAAGCTCTAAGAGGACAAGTTAAGCAAATAACTTTATACTGTGTTTTCTTATTAATAAAGAGAGAACACCCAACTGACAACACTGAAGAAAAGATAATACAACTGTAGGTCTTTTTTTAACAAAAAATTATTTTATATCGATTTGTACACAAAATTCATAAATTCATATGTTTCAGTTATACATACTGTGTTCCACATTCGAAGACATATTAAAAAGAAAGCATAGTCAAGGTCAAAAGAAATGGGATCTAACCTACCAAATGGTTCACTTTAAGATAAACTGAGAATTATATTGTACAAATAAATCTGCTGGTAGAAAATGTGGTTTGTACCTCCTATAATGGGAGAAACCCAATGGTCTGAAGATTTTGTCCTGGCAAAATGTAAATATAAGGTTAGTTTAAATACCCAAAGATACTAAGTTTAGTATATACCAAGTTCTTTGTAAATGTTAAAAATTCAATGCATTAAAAACAAAATGCCAACCAATTCTGTATGGAACCAACACCCATACACACACCACCACCACCACCACCAACAACAACAACAACAACAAAAACAGCCCGAACCAAAACCGCACATCATGTGTTGATGGTATATCAACTGACATATTTCAACAAACAGATGCTGCCATGGATGTGCTCACCAGGTTGTGCTAAGAAATCCGGAGGACAACTACCTGGTCAATGGACAAAAAGAGATCCACATTTATTCCCATTCCAAAAAAAGGTGATAGGACAGAGTGAGGAAATTATCTAACAGTATTCACTAATGCCACACACAAGCAAAATTCTGCTGAAGATTTTTCAAAATCAATTGGAAGAGTACATTGAGAAAGACTCTCAAGAAATACAGGCTGGGTTTAGAAGAGGCTGTGGCACAAGGGGCATCATAGCCAATGTCAGATGGATCTTGGCTGAAAGCAGAAAGTACCAGAGGAATGTCTATCTGTTTCACTCACTATGCAAAAGCATTTGACTTTCTTTGTGTGGATCACAACAAATTGAGAAGAACGGGAATCCTAGAACACTTGATTGTGCTCATGTGAAACCAAATATTAGACCAGGCAGCAGTTGTCAGAACAGAGCAAGGAAACATTCATGGCTCAAAATCAAGAAAGGGGTGTGTTGTGTCTCCATAACTTTTCAATCTCTATGCAGAACAAATCATTCAGGAGGCTGGACTTTATGAGGAGGAATGTGGCATCAGGATTGGAGGAAGATTTATCAACACCTAGCATTATGCAAATGACTCAACCTTGCTTGCTGAAACTGAGGAAGACCTAAAGCATTTGCTGAAGAATGTCAAGGACTATAGCCTTCAATATGGATTCAAGCTCAACATCATGAAAACAAAGATTCTCACCATTGGGTCAATTGGCAGCACCATGATAGATGAAGAAGAGACTGAAGTTAACAATTTCATCTTTTTTTTTGGTTCCATACTCAACACTCTTGGCTCCAGCAGTAAGGGGGGGGGGGTTGAACAGTACTGGGAAAATGTGTTGTCAAGGGCCTTTCTAGAATGCTGAAGAGCAATGTTACCATTCTACAGCCTAAGGTGTGCCCGATCCAGGCCATGGTCTACATAAATACTTGCTATGCATCAGAGAGCTGGACAATGACTAAGAACGACAGAAGAATTGATGGCTTTGAGTTGTGGTGATGGAGAAGAGTATTGAGCATACCATGGACTGACAAGAGAATAAACAGGTTTGTTCTGGAGATGGTGAAACCAAGCTGCCCCTTGGAAGCAAGGATTTTGAAGCTCAATATCATACACTTTGAGCATGTTGTCAGAGGGGACGAGTGCTTGGAGAAGGACATCATGCTTACAAGGGTGGAAGGATGGCATAAAAGAAGAAAACCCAGGATGTGCTGGATTGACACAATAACTGAACAATTAGAGTAGGTGTGGGGGAGGCAGTGAGCTTGGCTCAGGAGAGGTCAGGGTTCCCAGCTACTATGAACCTACAAGAGTCATTATGAGTCACAGTTGACTCCACTGCACATAACAACAACAACAACACAACCGTGTCCTGGAGAAGGTGAAACTAAGGTGCTTTTTAGAGGCAAGGATGGAGAAACTTCCTCTCACATACTTGGGCACGCTGTAAGAAGGGGGCCAATCTTTGGAAAAAGATACCACACTTGGGAATTAGAAGGTGAGCAAAAGAAAGACTTTCAACAAGATGGACTGACACAGTGACTTTATCAATGAACTCTCATATATCAGAGATAGTGAGGACAGGGCACGGTTGAAGACCATTGTTCACGGGGTTGCTATGAGTCACAGTTCACTTGAAGGCATTTCACAACTCTTAACACTATTCTTATGACTTAAACCTTGTTACCTTTAGTATAAATATCAACAAGCAATAGATCTAGACTCTGGAGTAAGAAAACTGGTGTTGAAATGCCAGTTTCTCTACTTGTGAATTGTTTGTAAATCCAAATTATTTCGATTACCCAAACCTTCCATTTTTACCATGTGCATAAAGATGACAGCAATAGTACCTCTACCAGAAAGGCACTGGTTTTGAATTCTATCTTCTTCACTTACAAGCAACTGGAACATGCTTAAGTGAGCTAGATTTTCTGAAGGCTAAGGAACCCTGGTGGGCAAGGTATCTGGCTTCTAACCCAAAGGTTGGCAGTTCAAATACACGAGCTATTCCACAGAAGAAAAATGCCTCTTCTGGGACCAATTTGGTGCCAATAGGCTTTTTGTCTTTTTTTTTTTTTCCAGAACATTAGTAACTCGTAAGGCTGGGCCTTAAAAGCTGCTGCAGCCTCGTACACAAGCCAGCATATGTGAGCATTCAACAACTGCTAACTGGTGCGATTATCCTTTGAAATTTCAAACACTCACTTTATCTTTGAAGATGGCACACTAATTACCACAGGCCCATTTTCTTCAACACTAGTGACACATTTTTCTCTACCAGGCTCTCTTTTTAACAAATGTTGCAAATTTATGACACAGTTGGAAAATGTCATGATTGTGGTAAAATGTTTTCGGTTTGGAACCTCCTTTTGCCATTTGTGACACAGAAGAATAAAACTCCAGCCTGAAAGTCAGAAGAAAATACATAGTACGTTCTGGAGACATTGTGAAAAATGAATCTCTTCTCTGTGGTTGTGTTTTGATATAGAAAATGAGGTTTAACATTATGGACATCCATAAGAAGCCATGTAACAGATGCATCTGTTTTATAACTAATCTGCTATTGCCAATTATTCAGCAGAAAGATAAAGCCAAGAGAACAAATTGATCATAATAACAATAGATTATAATCATGCTGTTATAAAAATTGTTGTGAAGAAAATGAAAAAATTAAAGCGATGCTCTGGGTATCATGTCCATGGTCTGAAATAGCAGTTTTACCACTCAAAATCTCTTACAAAATAAACCAAGGAATTAAAAAAAACCCCAAAAAACAAAACAAACCCTTTGCTTATATATGACAACAACCAGGTATAGTTATATTCGGTCTATCAAACATAAATCTCAATAGAGACAATTTTCTTATTCAATATTATTTCTTCTAGGGTTCTGTCACACGCTTGTGGCTGAATGGTAAGGAACTGTGTTACCAACCCAAAAGCATGCAGTGGAATTTACCAGTTCCTCTGTGGGAGAAAGATGGGCAGTCTCCTCCCATGCAATTTACTGCCTCTGAAAACGCACTAAAGAGTCAGCTCTGAGCCAGTTCCAATGGTACATAACAATCATAATATTCTATCAGGTTCTAATGATTCTAACAACCACATCTCTAGCTAACGCAAAGACATACAACTCTCTTATCAATTTTAAAATAATAAGGCCTCAGGAAACTCTATGA